GAAGTGACGATGGGAAGAAAGGTTGAACACTTATTACTATTACTTATTGCTATTTCTGTCTTGGGGGACCTCTGATACCATCTGCCAGGCCAAGAAACCGACACACAGGCTGCATGGATTTTTGTTCTCAGCATTTGCAGGACTTTAAATACACATAAATGTTTTGTTAGGTTTGAAATCTACAGCATTGATTCATGAAGATTCACTATGAGCAACACAGATCTGGAGTTTTTAACAATAAAAATATAAAATTAAGGAGTCAAAGAGTGAGGAGCAGACAATAAAACCTTTAACAATAAAGCTTAACACTGGTGCTATTGGAGAACAATCCGTTATAGTCTGGCCTCATCTTCTCATGCCAAAGCCTGCCCTTTAACCTCTATCTGGCTTCTCAAATCCCCTTGAAAAATACTAACAGGCTACTCTTTTCACTTGATACTTAGAATTCAGTGGGCAATTATTTTTGGAAGAAAATTGCAAATAGATGAAATTTAACCTAAGATGGGGAGGAGTGAGAAATAAAGATGATATATAGTAAGCCACAAGACTAATGTAAATATGCTACCAGCTGAGTCAGATGGACTCTGGATGATTGGTCTGTGGAAACCAACTTAAAATGGAAGGACATCTGTGGATAAAATGATATATGCCATTTCTGTACTGTGGACAGTTGAATATCCTTATAATTATCTCTCTCAAGTGTCAGTTATAGTATACCCAAAGAGAAATTCAAATATCTATCATTTTGTTGCAGAGAAACAACTGCAGATTCAAAATGATATATAGGAAATTTCCCTAGAGAGGCACACTACTGTCGGTGATAGAATATTTCCGATCCCCTATGTGACTGCCGCTGAGCAGAATCTCAGAGGAAGTAAATGTAGAGGGGCTGGGTTCCAGATAACTGTGCTCATAGTCCATTTTCACCAATGAGCATTTTGTCTCAAATGTCCTGACTCAGTTTATTGATCTTTCATTGGGGTAATCATAAGATGGGTTATAAGGAAGGTAAAATAAATATGTAGGTATGAATGACATTTAGCAGCCTCACATCACAGGCAAAATCTCAGTCCATATTTGATAGAGTCAGGATTCTTGAGAAGCATCACTTTCCACACTTGGAATGAAAGATTTACCAGCTCAATGTTGGCCATTAATATAGTGCGATACCCTTCAGAGTATCTGTGGGACTCTGACACTGGTCAGCTAAACCAGAAACCAGAGCAGAAGAGAGCCAGTGAGTAGCACTACCCCAAACTCTCCCACTGGATCATTCAAGCTCAAACCATTCAACAAACCATTCAAATAGACAAGTAGAACTCAAACTTCAGTGCATGTGAAATTTAAGAGGAAACAGTCTAAGCTTGAGCTCCATCCACAAAGATACTCATTCAGTCTAACTTGGGTATAACTTGGTTACCAGAAATATCAGAAGTTCCCTAGGTAACCACCATGTTTATCCAAGGTTAAGAATGATGGCCAGACACTGTCATCTACAACCAAGGTACAGAGCAGTTTGCTGAAAATAAGATGTAAGTGATGTTTAGATTCACGGGTCTTTATGGAGAGAAGAAAACATTTGATGGCTAGCATAAGGAAGTAGCCCATGGCACCAGCCTTCTTTCTTATCATGAGAGGTGGCCCCCACACTTGCACTGCTCAGATCATTTAATTATTTCTGAATTTGTTTGTGGACAACACTTTTTCAGCTACAGTTTTCATTCCGTTTTTCTTTCTCTGGTAATGTGGGATAAATGGCTTCAGAGAACAAATCCACACATGGCCTATTTAAAGGCATCTAAGTAGAACATTTGTTTTAAATGATCTTTCAGGGTAGAAGGAGTAGAAAAATTCATAAAATAGCACAGCATAGAGTGATAGACACCAATGTGAAGCCTTTGAGAAGTCCAGAACCATTGTTCTACAGGCCACTTCATTGACCTACTCCTTGAGCCGCTTTGCTGCAACATTGCTATTGATCTTATTCATAATCAACTAATGAAAGCAAAAACATAGAAGGCAGGTGATTGTGCAGGCTGGTCACATCTATTTTATGAGCTCTGTAGAAAGGCACTTTGCTAACATTTGATAGGGGATCTCTCTGGAAGGGAATAGGACTGGTTATGTGTATTTGAAAATAAAACAGAATAGCATAGAACTCATGCTCAAATTGGCCATCATTTTTGAAAAGCATTTTGAAAATCCTACTGGTACTATATGACTGTGTGCCATCTCCTTCTCTTTGTCACTGCTGGAAATGAGTCAGACCTTTGAGATTTCATCTTACTTAACAGAAGTGAGCTAAACCAATTCCTTATAGAAAGTAGGTTATCAGAGCAGACATGATCTCCTTTGTTCCAAAACATTCTCAAGAATTCTAAAAATGATACAGGGTAGGCCCAGTTGCTCAGAAGCCCCAAGCAAGAAGATCTGTTGATCCTACTACCTTGAGACCAGATTGTGTGGTGAAATAGGATTCTACCTCCAAACAACTGACCAAAAAGACCCAATGAGAAGAGAAAGTCCAATAGAGGAAGGTTACCAAAAGCAATGGTGGATGGTAGAAGAGGTAGAAGGGAGAAGGAAGGGAGTAAAAGGAAAGAAGGATGGAAGGAAGAAGGAAAGGAGGAAGAAGAAAAAGAGAAAGAAAAGAGGCATGGGAGGCAAAGAGAGAAGAAGAACAGAAAAATATAGCATTTTAAGAGTTAAAACTCATGATGCCCAAAGAGCACTCTTAAAAGCAGAATCATATTGCATAAAATTCTGGAAAACTTAAGATCTAATTACTTTACAATAATACCTCTGGGTTTAATTTTACTAGTTTTCTCTATTCTTTCAATAACCATTTAACATCTGTGTCGGTTGCTTTCAATCATCCCAGCTCACTCTACCTAGCAACCTAGGAGTTGGGGTGGCAGCTCAGTTGGCAGAATGTTTGCTTACCATACATGAAACCCTGGATTAAATCCCTAACACTACATAAAACTAGGTATAGGGCCATATGCCTGTAATTGCAATATGTTGGAATTAGAGGCAGGAGGACCAGTTCAAGGTCATCATTGGTTATATAGAATATTCCTTAGAAGGGAACCATGTCGAAGCAATGTATGTTTGCAGTGCCTTATGCAATTGGGGGATATGAGTCAGGCAGAATTTCTTACATAATCCTCACACCTAGCATGCATATGGGAATGATTCTTCTTAGAGCCTACCCTGTGAATGAACAAGGCTGCCATGCTCAGTTATGGCTGAGCTCCTGTTAGAGCCACCTTGTGAACAGAGGTCCTTTTAAGTGCTTGTCTGACGCATGCTGGGAATACTCTACCTGCAGGTTAGGCATGCCAAATCTCACCACCTTTTATAAGACAAATCAAGTTCTATACTACATATCTCTTTCATTTTCAGATATATCAATTGTACTCATCAAAACTAGGGTATCTGAAACCCAATAGTTTCTAAATTTTAAAAAGTTTTGGTCATAATAAAAATGTAGCAAACAACAAAACTTACTTTTATTGTTTTAAGATAGAGGATAAATGAACTTAGTTTTGTCTTTTGATTTATAGAAGACAGTATTCTCAGAGTGTGTATAATTTTGTTAGGATTTTATTGGTTTAGAAACAACTAGAATTTTCAACTGAATGTTAAGTTCCAGGGAATATTCTAGAGGTATCTCTGTTTATATTCAGAGGTACACCTCTTGCAACAGCAAAACTCTTTTGATGTTTTATGAAATGCTCAATTGCTGGATGTTTTTTGAAACACTGGAACAAAAGCATTCATGTTAAGACTTCCTTGTAAATGCATTTATCTAGGTTCTTGATCCTTATGCACAGTAAAAATCTAACAAATGAGAACCCAGCGCCTCTTTGGGGACTTTTAAGGCATTTAAGACCTTAGCCAATCTCAATGAGCCATTCTAATCAGCAGGGTATTGATATTTGCATTTCTAGGGAAATCTACAGTACCTCTGCATTCAAAATGCTTACATTGTGGAATGGCCACCATTGAAAATACCTTGAGAGAGTTTTATCATCTTTCTAGATTTAGTAAACCAATGTGAACCAGCATTTTCTATTATTTAAATTTTTCTCTCCAATATGCATCATTACAAAATAAATTGAGAGAGGTGGGGAGATGGCTTTGTGGTTGAAGCATTTGATGTGCAATTGTTAGGATCTGAGTGCAGATTCTTTTGAGGACCCACTTAAAGCCAGACACAGTTGTGTGTGGCTATACTTACAACACTCCTGCCATTCAAGAGAAGGCAGAGGCAGGAGAATCCTTGGAAGCCCACAGGCCAACTAGCCAAGTGTACACAGCTGGAAATAACAGGAGATGCTGTCTCAAACAAGGAAGATAGCAAAAACCAATACCGAGGTTGTCCTCTGACCCCCCCATATGTGCATAATGACATCAGATGTCTCCCTTAAACAAAGAATAATATAGAAAGATAGGGGTTCTTTCAGTTGGTGAGTTTTTTTTCCATAACCTAATTTCATATAATGTGCTCTTCTGTAATGAAAGTATTTTTTTTGTTGTTGTTGCTTTTTAAAAACAGTTTTAAATAGTATATCAATGTATGGAGTTTTATGGTATTCCTAGTTAGTCCTGGTACACTCTTTTACTAATAATAGTCTTTACTTTTAAACAGTTGTAGTATATATTTAGCATTAAAAACTTGTGTAAGCACAACTTGAAATAGCTTGGACTTAGCCATGTACCCTGGCATGCTTTGGTAACACGCAGTATTAATACCCTGGCACAATAGCTTGAACACGCCCACATCCCAATGCCCTCATGATTTCATTTAAGTGGTCCCGCATGCCTGTTTTGTGATCTTTCCAAGCTTTCCAAGTCCACGGTCCATCAGCACATTTCCTTGCCACACCCATGCAGACGCAGCCCCCTCCCCACCCTTCACCTGTGCACATGGAACCAATTGCCAGAGAGCACGTTTCCCCCTGAGCGAGCAGTATTGTGAATTTTATCTTCTCTTCCAGAAATCAGTTCGTCTTCGTTGCAACAGATGAAATTTCTTGTAACACCTCTGCAGGTAACAGACATTCCTACTTCCTGATGGTCCCATCTGAGTCTCAATATCCTTTTTTTTCCTTTTTATCTTCTTCACATGCTGCAGTTTGTCACTGTAGAAAATTTAGTTCTTATAAAGAGAGAAAGAGACCATATACTTTTGAGTGTAGCTGAAGATTTTAGGCTAACATATTAAAAATACATGAGGCGTTTTGCTAACTCTGATGTTTGTATTTCTGATTTTAATAATACCTGGTTCAGAAGAGTAAGCTTTGTGGTGAACAAATGCGCAAACAAACTCATGGATTAAGCAATATTCTTATAATAAAATACTGACAAAGGGAGCTTAGGAACATGACGCGACTCTCGTCCTTTTTGACAGATTGTATCTAGGTTCATAGACATTGAAATGAAAATTATTTGGTATCTTTATAAAATATGATTGGCCATAAGAGACTGCATCCATAAAGCCAGTGGCATTAGGAAATATAATTACTTCTGTCTTATAAGAAGGGGATCTTCTGTCCATTAGCTAAAGATCCTCCATTTCCTTTTCTTCAACACATATTCTCAAGTATCAGTACTTAGAGAAAGGAAGGTTTATTTTGTGTTCAAAATCAGGCCATTGGTGAATAGAAATTGTCTAGTTGCATGATACGTCCATCAAAACAACCTTTGTCATTTCACGTTGATGTGGTTCACAGCAATTTAATTTGGGATTACTGGATTAAGTGCCTAGATAGTGCCTTAATGAATATTAGACTATCTTTATTCTCTCTCTCTCTTTCTCACGTTCTCTTTCTCTCACTCTCTGCTGTGTGTGTATGTGTTCTTGTATGTGTTAGGGGATAACTAAAGCCTAAACTACCTCAGATACTCACTAGACAGTCTTGCCAATGGATGCTTTTGACGAAGGAAAGTGGATATAACAACATGCCCCAGATGTAAGAAAGCACACCAGCCTTATGCACAGAGCATGCATCTGTTACCAGTCACTTTTTATCAATGGAGTAGTAAACAAAGGTGAACATTACTAATAACATTTCAAGCTCTATTCAGAGTCTTTAGAGAGAATTAATGAACTGAAGGACAGAGCTAGGAACAGGCTTCTGGCAGTGCCACACAGGTCTCCACATCTGGGTCCTTTATAAAGTCATTCTCTGCATTGTTAATGGGTTGAGGTTTTGCTCCAAGAGTTACACAAGCTCATTTTCTAAAGCAACTGCTTGCTACATTTCCATAAAGCTCCTTTGCTAATGCTGCTGATCTCTCCTCCCCTTCTCTCTAGGTTCAAATATTCAGGCTTCTCTCAGAGATGTGCCATAACTAACTCTACATTAATGCCTTACACTGGAAGGTAGACTGTTAATTGCATTTCTGAGAGTGGCAGAGTCAGAAATAAGTTCTGGAGACACAAGAATAACCTAACATTCCCAGAGTATACTAAGGAAAAGGAGATAGGATAGGAAGACAGCTGAGTTGGGAGGAATGGTGGTTTAACATGTGGATTCACTTGTTGCAGACTTTCTGCCCTCCCTGCTAAACTTCATGTGTGTTCCAGTGTGTCTCAGGCTCTATTTTGACATCATAGATTAAAAACTGAAAACTGGTAACATAAAAGATAGACTGGACAAACACTGTTCTGTTAACAATTGGTCCTCATGCAACCTTCTATGAAAAAGCAACACATAATGCTTGCCTGAGCACACCCTGGCTTGCCCCCGTCTTGTCTTCTCTAGGGAGGGGGACCCAGTAAATTATTGATGAATTGATTGCTATGAACCACATTTCAAAGATACCACTATTCCTCTGATGGCCATATTAATAATGTGTGTGTCATAAGGTCTCATTTGAACCAGAGGTTTTGAATCAAGCAGGGAGAAGAAAAAATAACCATATCAATCAGATTCCCTTGCAGTTAGCCTCCTTCCCATACAGAGTCAAAACAAGAAGTCAGAACTACAGTGAAATTAATGTCATCTTGGGACTCTCCACTTGCAAATTGCAAAATCCCTGTGCACCTACTGGATTACACAGCCCACTTGCTTGTCAGAGAAACACCACAGAGGGCAGAGATATTGTATCCTGGTATCTAGAAGCAACCAGGGCATGACACCAAGCACATTGCTTTTTTTAAGAGGAGAGAAGTATCAGTGAGTTGGGCTGAGGATGAGCTTGGTGGTAGAAAACATGTGTGGTAGGAATAAACCTCTGGGCTCACGTCCCCACATAGAATTAAAAAGAAGAAGAAGAAGAAGAAGAAGAAGAAGAAGAAGAAGAAGAAGAAGAAGAAGAAGAAGAAGAAGAAGAAGAAGAAGAAGAAGAATCAAGATTCTTAAAATCTTGTAGAGCTTGCTGGATTTTGAAAAAAAATTTAGAAGGATTGGTCCTTGGAAAAGTCTGCAAGTCGTGGGAGATATGAGCACACAGTCTTTTTGTGACTTGGTGGTGATGAGATGATCACTAAACATCAGCAGAGGCAGGTCATGATCTGTGAGCCCAACACAGAGGGATGTTTTCTATTGGCATATTTTGCAGAGGATGCCCTTACGTTGACTCTCTTTTGCTAGCTGTGTGGAGTAGTTGCTCATTCACATTTGTTGTCTGTGAGTCTGTTTGTGTTGTGGGAACATCAATTTTCTTCCTCAGTGATTCTACATTTTCAGTATTTGGGTTGGTCAATTTTCCTCTGGGTAGGGCATATTCTGGAAGGAACAAATAGAAACTGTCCTTTTAACAACAGGGTAAAAGGCTAACTGTTGCACTTACCTAGCCCATTTGAACCATCTATTAACGTATAACATCAAGAACTTTTCATAGATTGGAGTCTACAAGAGGTGCAAAGGCTGGAAAGGGTGGAGGACATGATTTTTCCTCCTAGGAACCCCTTCCCTCTCCACCCCACACATGGCTCTGTGATTTACTAGAGCAGTTTCAGGATGAACTAGTGATTGTACAGGAACAAGATGGATCTTTTGTGAGAATAGGGGCTACTGAAAAATCAAGTTACTTTATGGTTGGAATTCATTCAAGTCTGTTAGTTGCTACAGAGCTGCTGTCACATGCTGGGGATACATCTCCATCCTGAAGTCACAGCATTGAATAAATCAGGATAAGCTATCTTCAGACAGACTTCCATTCTAGTGTAGAGTATATCCCAAATCTTCACATAGATGAAGAATCATAGGATATACTTGTATATAAAGTTAGGCTGGAGATAGTGAGATAGCTCAGTGGATGAGCCAGTGGATGAGGTTCTTGCCATCAAACCTGACAACTTGAATTTGATTTCCAGAGCCTGCATGGTAGGAGTGAACCAAGTCCTCAAAGCTGCCTTCTGAGCTCCACTTGCCTGCCATAGCACATGTATACCTATACATATGCATACACATGCATGCACACAGAACAACAATTAAAATCCAATAAATGCAAATAAAAACGATATAGTCAGAACATCTCCAATTAATCAAAAACCAATGCGGGAGAGGGACTTTCAGGTGTCATGTAGCTTTAGCTACCATGATCAGAGATGCTTTCTACACTATGGAGACCCTGAGAGAACACCTGAATCTAATCAAGGAATGAACCAACTGTTTCATCTCTAGGACAGTGATAAAAACAATCAAACAAACAATAGAAGTCACCCTAGGAGTAGAAAGGATTACTTCTGTTTGTGGTTCTAAGCTACAGTCTTTCACCTAGAAGATGCCAAGGCAGGAACTCAAGCATCCTGACACATCACTCCATTATCAGGAGCAAGAAGGATACATGCTATGCACTTGCTCTCATATAGCTTGCTTCAGTCCTGGGTAGGCCAGGATCCCCTTATCAGGTAATGGTACTGTCCACAATGGGCTGGGTCCAGCTCTATCTATTAACAGTCAAAATATCCCCCATAAACATGCCCATAGGGCAACCTGATAAAGAAAATCAATGAAGACTCTTCTCTCCTTCTCTCATAAGAATCTAAGTTGTGGCAAGTTGAGAGTTGAAACTAATTGTCACACCAAATTTTCCAGTTGAGAGTTCATCAGGCTGAACATACAACCAGTGCAAAGGCTTTGCAACTGGGCACGCTTACTGTTTGAGGAGCAAAATATCCAGGGTGGTGAGAACAAGTGTGTATGTTAGAGATATCAGGGCAATAGCAGGAGCTCACAAAGGTGGCTCAGACAAGTTAAGACTAGGAGGCTGTTGAAACCATTTGGCATTTTCCATAACCATTGGAGGATTCACCAGAAAGTTATATGATGAGAAGAGAATGAAAAAAAGCCTCCGTGGAGACCCTTGAAAGTGACCCTTTAGTGACTCTTGGCCATGATAGAGGCCAGAAAGTTACATGATGAGAACAGAAGAAAGAAAAAAAGCCTCCACAGAGGCCCTTGAAAGTGTGATGACAGACTACAGTGACTCTTGGCCATGAAATCTTGGGAAGTAGTTGTTTTTGAATAATACTTCCTGGGAGAATAAGCAGGGCATGCTGCTGTGGTTAGCAAACACAAGTGCAGTCCATATTGAATGTGACTCCTGTGTTACAGTCACTTTTCTTATTGTCAGGACAAAATGACTGACCGAAGAGGCTTAAGAAAAGGGGGCTTTCATTTTGGCTCACAGCTTGAGGGTCTAGCCATGGTGGTGAAGGCACAGCAGCAGGATTTTGAGGTCATTGGTCACATTGCATCTAAATTCAGGAAGAAGAGTAGGAGAAATGCTTTCTTCTTTTTATTGAGTCTAGGATTCCATCCCACAGGATGGGGCCACCAACATTCAGTGTGGATCTTCCCTCCTTGAGCATACCAATATAGAATCTCCCTCAAGGATGTGCCAGAGACTTGGCTGCAAGAAGATGCGAGACCTTGTCATCTTGACAATCAATGTTGACCATCACAACCCCCCTCTTCCTCAAGTGTGGTTTGAGGGTTCTCTCCTAGTGTAGAGGGTGACACTGAGCCCTTAGCCTCTGTAACAGCTATCTCTTTTGTGGGTTCTGCTTAATTATACAGGATGCATCAGTAACTTGCT